CCCGAGTATGTGTGTGCGTGCGCGCACGCACATGCGCACATGTTATATACGTATACGTGTGTGTGTGTGCGTCTGTTTTAGCAGTGTGTGTGTGTGTGTGTGTGTGTGTGTGTGTGTGTGTGTGTGTGTGTGTGTGTGTGTGTGTGTGTCTATATGTAAAAACACATGAATATTAATTTACACATATATACATACATAAGTGCATGTGTGTGTGCTGGGGGAGAGAGAGAGAAAGAGAAAGAGAGAAAGAGAGAGAGACGTTGTTTCGCCATGCGAACGATAGAGTCTATTATTACCCTGGTGAGAAAAATCTATTCTTTTTCCTTCCAGCATTTGTCTATTCCCTTGTTGATAGCAGGACATCAGACATAACGGTTTTCACAGCGAATAAATCAGTTATTTTATTTATGCCTAAAACAACCAGTTAAGTGGTCAGAAACTCTCTTCTTGGATTCGTTGAACACATTACGACGAGCCTGAGTGAAAGCCAAATATTTGTTTTGTTTTTGTTTTTTAATTGTTGTTTTTTTTTTTTTGTACTTTTTTGAGTTATTGGTTTGTATTTTTTTTTTAAAGTAGGTTACTTACAGAATGTTTCTGTTTTTTTTTTCCTTTCGACTGATGTAACATTTGTAAAATCTACAATCAAAGTAGTCATTTACATTCAAAATTTCTATCCGTTTTACGTATTTTAGATATTAGATTACTTAAAACATGGATTGAAACATATACCGAGTGTAGCAGTAAAATTGTCCAAACCTTGTAACAGCAAAATTGTCCAATTGTTAGATTAAGATTTGAATCGTTGTAACACAGAAATGATTAAAGATATCTTACTGGAATTCTCCGAGGTTTTTATAACAAATTTGGATTCTACTTTGAACAATAAGAATGTATTTAGCTCTAAGTTGAAATGAAGAGAGCTCTTGCTGTTGTGACCTCCTGATCCAGTTTTCTTCTCTACTGTTCCCTCTTTTTAAGATTTATTCAGCGTTCTCTTGATGGTTCTTGAATGGACTTTGAAGATGGAAGCAGAGTATGAATGTTGGTACCATTACTGAAGGTACGAATGATCTTTTTTCTCTTACCATTGTTCATATAGGAAGATAGTTCTATCAGTTCTAATCTTCATCTTGATCTGATTCCCAAAGAATCGAATGAGATCCCGATGAGAAAGACGGTGGCCTCGCAAGACTTCCTCCCGTCGCTTCGTTTAAATCACCATTCGGGCCTTTGCCTGCAATGATAGAAACATCATTCGTTTCACCCAAGAATACGGGGCGACACATTGTCACACGCGTATGCGCGATCAATGAGCGCGAGCTTTTCAGGAGTGATACGAGCCGTCAACTCACCGACATAGTCCCATAAGGGGCGGACCCAGGGACAGTGGTAGAAAGCGTGCGAAGACGTTTCTTCTAAGCCAATATCACATCGTTCGCAGTCTGGCAAATCCGCCAAGCCCCATATGAAGGCCTTGTCATTGAGAGATAGCCTATTCCAAACCACTCGCTAGGTAAGCGAAAACTCACTGTTACTGAGGTTATCCACCGCTAGCTCCCAAGACCAGAAGGAGCAAAACTCCTCCTCCGACAAGTCGAGCGGCTCACGCAGTGAACCCTTCGCCCCCCCCACTCCACTAGTTCCCAATAGCAGATTTTCCTAGGCCGATAAAGGTCACTGGACCTAGGAATGATCGTCAAGCCATATCGACACTCGCGAAGGAAATCCGATTGATCCCGGGGTTTACGACGGCGCTCAACCCGCGAGATCGGAAGACTGATAGTAAGGAAAGAGAAGGCGTCCCTTACAATCCCCGCACTAATCGAATCCGCTGTCAATGAGTGGCGTAGGAAAACCAACCTCTAGGCGAGCTTGTGACTTACCAAGTGCGGCATTCCCAGCCCCCATGACACGGACGTTGTGCACAGACTTCTCTGTCGACTTTATGCTTGCGTTCCCTCTTCGGCGCCAAATCTGACCAGCCACGCTGACCTTTGCCTGTACTTCTGATCAATTTCTCTCCAGCTGAAGGTCGGGTCCAAACCGCACTCCAAGAATACGGACATTCTTCCTTCTGGAATGGGTTCGATCTTCCCAACCTCCCCAGTTTATTTTTGGTCCCCTTTCATCTCGACTGGATCAGTTTTATTTATTCGCCATGTCCGTATATATTTTCTCTTTTCCCTCTCTCTTAGCGAGAGAACCTCTTGATTCTGACAGAATACAGCGGCCTTCCCTTTTTGCGGATTGGACGCATCCTACTAACATCAGTTATCCTTAGTTTGTTTGTTTTGATATTTAGTTTGCTTTGGGATTCATCCCCTCCCCTCTTATTGTCAATCATTAGATTTTTACGTATGACATTTTTTATTATCATCAAATTTTTATATCGCGGGATGCGTTTTGTAGGCCCCCCTGAGAGGATGCGACATTATAGTATAGGGAAGATTGATTGGTGACGGATGAGTTCGGTTGGTGAATGTGCAATTTGTAATGAGTGAATGGGTCGTGAATCGGATTAGCTATGTATATGATAGTGAAGACCAGTCTCAACCCATTATTCCTTTTCGGCCTTCTGCCATAATTGTATATTTGTATACAATAAATATCAACATGCTGTCTAAGTAGTCCATCACTAGCAGTGGTTTACCTACTTCACGCCGCTGGCGAGAATTGTATTTTACTGATGTTATAAAGATTGCCATTTCATTTTCAACCTCCGATTTAAATCTAGAATATATTTTTAGGTTGTAATATTTGTTTTTTTAGATAGTAATCATTTCGTGATTACTAATTAACCCATAGCTGGGAGGAGAAGAGGTGTATTCATATCTTTCCCAAGGGTATTTGCGCCTAAGTGAATACAATTGGAATTGAAACTCGATTAACAATTCTCCATTACACCAGCCGCGCATCCATGCTTACGGCATCTGGTATTTCCAAGCGGTCATACATCAAGGTACTGACTTCGGTTATCGTACGGGAACCCGTTTTTTTTTTTTTGCGGGATCTCGACGTAAGCCTAACCATGCAACTGTTTTTGGCTAATTCCGGCGTTCCCTCGTTCGCCGGAACGAAACTGAAATGGCTTCATTGGGAAGGCTGGAATTTGCCCAAAACAGTTGCATAAACAGATGAAAAACGAAATCCATGAAAATGAATATAGCAGCATTCGAAAATACTCGGCGTAAAGAAAAACAAAAATGAACGTTGTTTTTAATGGATACCCGTATTGTAAGTAGACGTTCCTTTTATATTAAACAGTATTTATTTCGTCTGTTTACGCGAGAAAACGTAATAAAATAAATTCTGCCCTCCGGCAGGATAGAAGAAATAAATACTGTTTAAAATAAACGAAGCGTCTACTCAGATACGAGTATCCATTAAAGATAATATTTGAAGCAAAAATATATATATATATATATATATATATAAAGAAAGAACAGCAAGATATATAATCCGGTGTTCTTATTGATATTTTTATTTTTACAAAATAGGGCTCAATGTAAATTTACAGAGCATTAATATTATAAATTAACTGATTTAAAATATGTTTTTTCGCTACACAGAAATAAACATCTTTCAAAAATGAAAGCTAAAAGCTTCGAATTTAATTTTGTAATATATATATATATATATATATATATATATATATATATATATATATATATATGTATGTATGTATGTATGTATGTATGTATGTATGTATGTATTCTGTGAAAGGGCAGCTAATGAAGTCAATACAACCGGAAGCGGATCTTTGAAACACAGCTTAAATCATTCGTTCGACTTAGATTTAATCAATTTTATTGCATCAGATTTCTCTTAAGTATTTTCAATTGAAATAGACTTCCGTATGCTTATTCATACTAATTTTTAAAATGTATTGTAAAAAGCGTTCATGTCATATCAGATGTGTGTTAGGATCCTATCGATGACAGAACATGCCCAGACAAACCCGGATTTAATAATTGTAATGCGGACCCGTGAGGAATTGTTTATATGATCAAACTAGATTAAAGAGTTATTTAATTAAAGAAACATATATTCAGGCTTAGAGTTTAGGTTGTTGGCTCCAGGGAGGGGGGGCGCAAGTAAGAATTTGCACGCTAAAATTAACTCACATCATGTTCCTTCACGGGTGGAGGAGTCGAAGCAAATGATTTTCTGTAGTGTGGTCACAACCCCTGTGACCGTCTTAAAAATGTTCATACTTTCGTAGAGGGCTTTATGTATCAGTGCCAGATATTATTATGAAAAACAGTGCTTTCGCAATAAAATTGATATTAAACATGAAATATATACTAATGTTGATAGGTTAAAACATATCTTCGGAAATATGTCTCATAGGTTTTCTATTAGAAACATTTACAATAAGTTATTTTGTAATGTGAGATTTTATTATGTAACTCAGGGATTGCATTACACGCACTTGGGGGGAAAAAAAAGAGAAAACAGTATAATTTAAAATAAGGGCTTTTATACAAAACAGATTTTAAAGTCTACCGTTCATCCATGCATTGGATGTTGTTATCACCTCCTGCTACATGTTCAAAGATTCTTGATAAAATCCAAAGAAGTATCTGCAATGTTATTGGTCCTGACCTGGTATCTAGGCTTCAATTACTTTCACACCGCCGTAACATAGCTTCCCTAAGTCTTTTCTATATATACTTTAATAGTAATTGTTTTGATGACCTTTCCCCTGTGGCATCTAAACTTTATGAATTTAAGCGCTGTTGTAGATTGGCTGCAAGGTTTCATCATTTTACAATTGAACTGGATAGCTGCAACCGTAAGTTCTATGCTAACAGTTTCTTCTATTGCACTTCTCGCTTGTGGAACTCTCTTCCAGCTTCTTGCTTCCCAGTCAACTTTGATCATCAAACATTTAAATATAATGTCAATCGTTATCTTAATTATTCTTCTTGTATTGCCCTTTCGCCCTTAGTATTATATTTTTCTCATTTTCTTTAAGACTCAGTTCCCTCTTGCGTCTTAGTGGCCTTATTGCCTTGCTTAGGGTGAAATGAGTTAATAACATGTACGAACTTACCAATTCTGAAAACGATTATAAACAATTAAGAAAACGGGTGAAGCCCGAAAAATACTCTCAAAAAAAACTATTAACAAATATGAGCTAAGATTTTTTCATGTGGCTCGGATGAAAAAAAAAGAGCCTTATCGAAAGCAAACAAATAAAAAATACAAGATTATTAAAGAAGATTTTTTAATAAATGTTCACCCAATACAAGGACCGAGAGCCACTCAAGCTAGAAAATTATTGAAGCACTCAGAAAAGTCCCCTGATAAGTGACTCACAGAATGCGATCAACAAAAATGATTTTTGTATGGACGTGAGAGGAGGAAGTAAGTGCAGACTATGAGGATATGTAGGATAGATAGTGATTGGCCCTTTTCTTGAAAACGCTAATATTGTAGTGTTCAAGGAAGCACCACCACGGGAGTCTGTTATATTGTGGATATTGAAATACTAAAGCTATTAGAAGCCTCACTTGCTATTCAGAAAAACCCGAGCGAGTTAAAGCAATGATCATAATTATTTATTTAAAGCCAGAAAATATTTTTAGATTGTAAGAATTTTTTTTTAGATAATAATGATTTTAGTGATACAAATCTTACTAATTAACCCATAGCTTGAGGGTATTGTGCGTAAGTGAATATAACGAATCCAACTGAAATTGGGACCATTCTTCGATTAACAATTCCAACCTTTATACATAAAACCAACCGCATATCCAAGCTTACAGCACTTGGTATTCCTAAGCGGTCACCCATCTTGGTAATGACCAGGATCGACGTTGCTTAACTACGGTGATCGGATGAGAATCGTTGTTTCACCCGAATATGGCCGTAACCCGGTTACACCGTCGGTACATCCAAACTTACAGCACCTGGTATTCGCAAGCGGCTACCCATCTTGGTACTGACCAGGCGTGACGTTGGGTACGGGAATACACACATAGTGAATGAATTCTGTCGTTTATGTAGCAACAGAAATAAGGAATCTAATCTACGGTCAGCAGGCTAAAGAACCTTAGCTGTACTGTTAAGGCTTGACAAAGATACCGTGAGAATGTAGGCCTACCAGGTAGGTTATGGTCACCGAAAACGCATGAATTTTAACCACTCCAGAAAATATTTACCTGTGTATAGTGCAACAGGTCACTGAAGATGCATGATTTTTAACCTTTTAAAAAAAATTACTTTGTATATTGTGATCTCCTATTTTTAGCGCAACAAAAATGATCCTAAAAACTCAGCCAATGTGACGGATTAATAACCGAAAAATCCATTTCTAAAAAAATAATGTTTTGTTCACGTTAGGATACGAAATTGAGCAGAAAGAGATATTGTGAGAATCAGAAAAAAAATCTGTGTTTAAAAGTACTATTCCTGGCCGTCAGGTCTTTCTGTAGCCGAGAGATCAAAGAACGCCAGATCTAATGAAGGTTAGCTCTAGCAGGAATCACGTTCGAATCTTGCCTGAGAGTGCATATTTTTTCTAATAAGATTTCTCAAATATTCTGGATTGTAGATAATAATAAATAAATATACCGTTTAATAAATTAAACAGAGCATCTACTCAAATATGGATATCCACTAAAAATAACGTTTAAGTAATAATTAATATATATATATATATATATATATATATTTCAATTGCATAACTTCCAACAGTCAGCCACTCAAAATGTTGGTAGAGGTTTGTTGAGAAAGCACAAGCGATAATGTTTGACCCTCGAGAGCTGCCTAACAGTTTTAGTGTACGTGCCAGGACATATCTGAATAACTGAAAATGTGTGCGTATGAACAATTTCTGTATATATATATATATATATATATATATATATATATATATATATATATATGCAGAGATGAGGAAAGACGACTAAAAAAGAATGCAGATAAGTGTGTATTTTTAAGAGTATGCGTGTGCGTAGGCAGAGGAAATATGTCACGACATTGGATTTTCTATCTCTCTAATTCTTGCTCTAGCTTTCTCTCCCGTTCACGTTCTCTTTCTCTTTCACTGTTCCTATATCCATCTACCTATCTATCTCAACATGTGTGCGTGTTTGTCTATAAATGTTTCTGAGGATGTGAAATGTATATATATATATATATATATATATATATATATATATATATATATATATATATATATGATAATGATAATTTATTTTTAATGTATACTATACTTATGGGCAAAATTAGTTAATATGTAAATACAAAAGTGGACACTGAGATCAACACCAATTGCCCTGATAAAGTCGTGGAGACGAAACGCGTTGGCTAATCTAAGTATAGTTTTCCAATTGTCTTTTCATCCATTTTGTCTCTTCTACAGATATACTCCATCTGAGAATATTTACACAAAATATATATATATATATATATATATATATATATATATATATGTGTGTGTGTGTGTGTGTGTGTGTGTGTGTGTGTGTGTTGCCATATGGACTAGGATTCATTTGTCATTCGTGTATATTAGTGGCTACTCTGTCTTCAACGTTTATCGTGTGTAGTGGTGAGTTAGCTCAGAGGTTTTCCGTTTAACAATGGCAGGATATACATATCGTGAGCAAACAAATGTAATTTTTACATACGGCCGCGCGAATGGTTAATGGAAGCGAGGCTGCACGGTTGTATCAGATTGCTTTTCCAGACCGAAGGCAACCGAGTCATCCAAACTTTGCTGCTGTTTATCGTCGTGTTGCTGAGACAGGATCCGTGGTACCACAAACTATGGATCGTGGAAGACCAAGATCCGCTTGTACGCCTGACCAAGATGAAAACATTTTACAGGCTGTCGTAGACTATTCAGGTATCAGCACACGTCAAGCGGCCCTATCATGTCGTACATCCCATGGTATCGCATGGAGGATGCTTCAAGAGAAGCTCCTATATTCGTATCATTTGCAACGTGTGCAGAGTCTTTTGCCCTCAGATCACTCACGATGGGAAAACTTCTGCCGACGGTTTATTGCACAAACTACCGTTACGTTGTTTGTCTCTTCAGTCATCTTTACGGATGAGGTAACATTTGGAAGAGATGGAATAACAAATTTACACAACCAACATTTTTGGGCGGATCGGAATCACCATGGTAAATACAGGCTAGACACTAGTATCAGTTTACTATTAATGGTGGTCTGGAATTGTAGGTGACTGTCTGGTAGGTCCATATGTTCTCCCGGCATGTCTTATAGGAGCTGTCTATAGGGACGAACAACACATTCAGACCTGCTAGAGGATATACCCCTGCTAATACGAAGTGGGCCATGCATGAGGGTGATCCAGCACATTTTAGTCACATTGTTCACAATGCACTGGTTGACATCTACCATGAAAGATGGATAAGTAGGGGAGGGCCGGTTCAATGGCCTGCATGTTTCCCCGACATCAATCCTTCTAGAATGTTTAGTTTTGGCTTATCTTGGTGGAATACTCTTGCATTTTCGACTAATATCTGTCTAAATTCTGAATGTGGGAATTAGTGTTCTTTTAAATGCTATGGGATTGAACTATGATTGTTTAAGTGGAACGTAAGTTTTCTCGTCATGGTCCTTTCATAGTACCACATGTCGGATACTTTAAGAGAAGCTCCTATATTCGTATCATTTGCAACGTGTGCAGGGCTCTGATCACTCACCATGGGAAAACTTCTGCCGATGGTTTATTGCACAAACTACCGTTACGTTGTTTGTCTCTTCAGTCATCTTTACGTATGAGGCAACATTTGGAAAAGATAGAATAACAAATTTACACAACCAACATTTCTAGGCGGATCGGAATCCCCATGGGGCAATACAGGCTAGACACTAGTATCAGTTTACGATTAATATGTAAACTGGAATTTTAGGTGACTGTCTGGTAGGTCCATATGTTCTCCCAGCATGTCTTAGAGGAGATGTCTTCAGGGACTTTATTTCAAACAGTCTTCCAAACCTGCTAATGCGAAAACGCGTGTGGTTCATGCATGAAAGGGGCTACAGCACATTTTTAGTCCCATTTTTCGCGACGCACTGGCTGACATGAACCATGAAAGATGGATAGGTAGGGGAGGAACGGTTCCATGACCTGCACGTTCCCCCGACATCAGTTTTGGATTTTTATCTGCTGGAGCACCTAAAACAATTGGTTTATGCAGCAGACATTAATAATACAGAGACGCTTCATCGACATGCCATGGTGGCCTGTGAAACCATTCGACACCGCGTGGGAGTATTTGAAAGATTCCGCCAATCAATGATTCGACGAGTTCATGCGTGTGTAGAAGCAAACGGAGGACATTTTGAACATTTGTTATGAGTTACTGTATTGAGGTACAATAATGGCCTTTCAGGCATAAGTTTATATGGACATTTACTTTTTTTAGTGTCAGAACCATCCCCCAAAGTTTGTAAAAGTATTTTTGATACATCCTATATATATATATATATATATATATATATATATATATATATATATATATATATATATACGGGAGGTGATACTGACTTGTATTACTTCCTAAAATCAATATTCTGATGTTTGGATTGTCGAGCAGAGAAATTTTGAGCACCGCCTAATAATTTATTTTATTATTATTATTATTATTATTGTTCGAAGGTACTCTGTGAATCCAGCTACAAAAACGATTAATAATTTTGGAGGATGTTCATATCAAAAGACGGCTACTCGCCATCAATAAAATTTGTTTCGATCTCAGTGTGCACGTGTTAAAATTACCAATGACTGTCGAAATTACTTGAAACATTACACACAATTTGGATAAATTGCTTCACAAGTTTCTACTCGACAGTGGACAACTTATTTGCTACCAAGCGAAACTCACAAAAAATGTCAGACATTGTTTATTCGTTATAATTAATAAAATGGTTAAACGAAGAATTGCTGTATTATGTGTATCTGTGAGGGGTTGAGGTAGGGGGAGAATTTGTGCGCATGCATGCTGTTTGCTGACAGTATAGGTTCTTGATTATTCCGATATCTTTCTTGAATACATCAAGGTTGCTGAGCAGTACCAGCAGATCCTTGTAGCGTACTTTGTCGAACGCCTTTGCATAGTCTATGAAACATAGATACACCTCCTTCTGCATTTGTATATCTAGTTCCTTATTCCGGTGTCTTTAACGAACCTGCACTGTTTCCGTCCTTTCTCTGGCCTGATTCTACTGCGCTCTATTCATCAGAATACGGATGACGATGTTTGTCACGTGGCTCATTAGGCTGATTGTTCGGTGGGGTTCACATTCGTTTGCGCCTGGTTTCTTAGGCATAGCTACGAAGATAGATCTGCTGAGGTCTTTCCTGCTGTTCTAGATTTCATTTGTCATTTTGATCTTGTCTATGCCAAAGTCATCTAAGGCTGTCAGCATGTTGGTTACAATTCCGTCTGGCCCAGCTGCCTTGTTTCTGTTCAATTTGGACAGTGCTGCTTTTACTTCTGTTTTTCAGAATTCCGGGTGTGTCGGTAGTTCTGTGTATTGCTGGCTGTTGCCTTTCGTCGAGGAAAAGTTCTCCAATATACTCGCTCCAGCGTTGAAGGATTTCTTCATTCTCTGATATGAGCGTTCCATCCTTTGATTTTAGGCAGCCTGTTCACGAGCATGCCTTCTGTCCTGTTAGTTGCTTTATTCGTTTGTGCATATCTCTTTTTTTGGGGGGAGGGGGTGTGTGTAGTACTCAATCTTTCTATTTCTGCACATGTTTCGTTTAGTCACTCTTTAGCGTGCCTGCATTTGGCCCTTATTTCGTTGTGTAATTTTCTGTACTCCATTCCGAATCTTGGCAGAATTTTCTGTCTTCTCCCCATCATGTCGAAAATCTTATCAGTTATCCATT